GGGGGGGGGGGTGCCGCCTGAGCCGATGACCCCCGTGGTGTCTGGCAACAAAGGAACTTCTGCCTTCCCTGAATCAGGCAACCTTTCACATGGGTGGGGTCATCCCTGGAGCGGTGGGCACAGCACGTCAAGACCTGAAGTTATCAGCTCCCCCAGGAGTCCTGCAGTGCTGACAACACACCCGGGGGGAGGGTCCTCATGCCCTGCTGCCACCCAGACCTGGACACCCAGGGTGACATCTGCCTGGACATCCTCAAGGACAAGCGGTCTGCCCTGTATGACATCAGCACCATCCCGCTGCCCACCCAGGGCCTGCGAGAACTCAACACCGATAGTCCTTTGAGCACACGCGCTGCTGAGCCTGGAGAAACCCCCACAGCCTTTAACAAGTATCTGCAAGAAAGCTGCTCAAAGCTGGTCCTTAGCCAAGAACCCGGACTGTGTAGACTCTCTACGTTATCTTTCTTATTTTTTATGTTTATTTTTGAGAGAGAGAGAGAGAGAGAGAGAGACAGAGAGACAGAGAGAGATAGCATGAGAGGGAGGAAGGGCAGAGAGATGGGGGACAGAGGATCTGAAGCAGGCTCCAGGCTCTGAGCTGTCAGCACAAAGCCCCACGTGGGGCTTGAACTCATGAACTACAAGGTGATGAATTGAGTTGAAGTCGGACACTTAACCAACTGAGCCACCCAGGTGCCCCTAGGATTGTGTATCTTCAGCTATGGGGTCACTTTGGTTTAAGTCTCTGGTTGAGCCCTTGTGGTGATGAATATAGTAAACAAATACATTGGGCTTAAAAAAAAAGGGGGGGGGCACCTGGCTATCCCGGTGGAGCACGTGACTTGATCTCGGGTTCCTGAGTTCAAAACTTATGCTGGGTGTGCAGACTATTTAAAAAGAAAATCCTGGGGCACCTGGGTAGCTCACTGGGTTAAGAGTCCGACTCTTGATTGCGGCTCAGGTCGCGATCTCACGGTCTGGGGGTTCGACCTCGGTGCGGCTCTGCACTGACAGCGTGGGGCCTGGCCGGGATTCTCTCTCCCTCT